AAATATTCCATCAGCAGGAGCAGCCAGCAGGGCCTGATTCCTTGACTGCAACACCCTTCAAGAGACTGTGCACCAAGTCAGAGGTGGAGGGCAGCTTGCCCGGTGAGGCCTGCCAGCAGTGGTACATATACATGATAGAATATTACTCAGCCATGAAAAAGAATGAAATCGTATCATTTGAGTCTGCATGGCTGGACCTACAGGATATTATGCTAAGTGAAATAGGTCAGAGAAAGACAAATACCATATGGTGCCACTTCTATGTGGAATCTAATGAACAAGGTAAATAAACAAACAACATTGGAACAGACCCATAAATACAGAGAAGAGACTAATTGTTGCCAGAGGGAGGGGGTTTGAGGGATGGGTGAAAAAGGTGAGAGGATTAAGAACTACAAATTGATAGTTACAAAATAGTCACAGGGATGTAAAGTACAGCATAGGGAATATACTCAATAATATTTTGATAACTATGTACAGTGCCAGGGGGGTACTGGAATTATTGGTGGGAATACTTTGTAAAAAGTGTATATATATATATACATTCTTCAAAATGCTGTGTCCATTTTTGGGTAGGTTCTGGGGATTTCTACTTTTTTCATATGTTTTAATTTTTTACAGCTTCCACATGCCTATTTATAGTAAGAATAAACAATAAAATTATTTTTATTTTGGAAAAAAGCTTTATCAGATTTGCCTAAGGAAAAAGTCAGAAAAGAGCTTATAATATGGATAAGCATATTATAGCCAATAAACTTTTCCTAAATTTTTTTTTTTTTTACAATATCACTAGACTGCTCAGGCAAATGTGGTAAGCCTAATGAGTCTACATTTCACGGCAGTGGTTCTCAACCTTCCTAATGCCTCGACCCTTTAATACAGTTCCTCATGTTGTGGTGACCCCCAACCATAAAATTACTTTCGTTGCTACTTCATAACTGTAATTTTGCTACTGTTATGAATCGTCATGTAAATATCTGATATGCAGGATGTATTTTCATTGTTACAAATTGAACATAATTAAAGCATAGTGATTAATCACAAAAACAATATGTAATTATATATGTGTTTTCCGATGTCTTAGGCGACCCCTGTGAAAGGGTCGTTCAACCCCCAGAGGGGTCGCGACCCACAGGTTGAGAACCGCTGTTTCACGGAGACAGCTGACAAAGTCTCTCATAATATGTGTTTGGTGAAAACAAGGAAACATGAACTGGGTGCTAAGACACCGGAAGGGTTTGGATACCCATAGCCACAAAAGCTATCTTTCATGAACTCCGATGGCAAACTGGAGCACGAAGTTTTAGTCAAGTCCTCAGCCTCTGCTTCAGCCCTGTGCTGGCCAGTATCTAAATCAATGACTTGGGCAAAGACAAAAAAACAAGGGGATATCTTTAGTATACATGGTTGACTTGAAGTACAAAGGAAAAGTGGAAAATACTTTGGATGATAAAATAAGAATCCAAAAGGCCAGAGAAAATACAACAGGGTCAATGTCAGATTCTGCACTGGGTCCAAAGCCCAGGCATGAGCACAGGGCAGGAATGATTGACTGCAGCAAGACTCTGGGGCTTGGTCAATGGAAAGGACAGCATGAGTCAGAAGCCTGATGAGGGAGCTGGAAAAGCTGTAGGGATCTTGCACAGCATTTATAGAAGTGAAGCATTCGGAACGAGGAAGGTGCCTAGCCGGTGTGGCTCAGTGGTTGAGCATCCACCCATGAACCAGGAGGTCACAGTTTGATTTCCCAGTCAGGGCACATGCTGAGGTTGCAGGCTCAATCCCCTGTAGGGGGTGTACAGGAGGCAGCTGATGGATGATTCTCTCTCATCATTGATGTTTCTCTCTCCCGTCCTCTCTCTGAAATAAATAAAAACATATTTTTTTTAAAAAAAGAATGAGGAAGGCATTAATTTTGTACTACATTGAATGTCAAAGATGTGACTATGCGAAGCTGTAACTCAGTGTCCCTCCTTCTCCCAGCCCTCTCAGGATGTGGTCAAGGAGATTATACAATTCTCCAAGGATACACTAGAAAAGATTGACAAGGCTCGCTCTGAGGGCTTGTACCACGAGGTAAGAATTCATTTTTATGGTGGATAGGGGTGGGGAGGAGGGCAGAAAGGGAGGGAAATGGGGTGGGCGGAAGATGGAGAGGCTACCAAGCAGGTTGTTTTTCTGAAGATGTCCTTTTGTTGAGACCAGGACTCCTCTGGCCCTCAAGCTTTTAGCACTTCTTAGGGGTGTGTTCTCAGGGACTGTTCAACCCGCTGAAACTGGGTCTGGGAAGAACTCAGGCAGCCTGACAAATGTCCCTGGGGGGTTGTAGTGTTACAAGTTGGCACCAGAAATGGAGAAATGGGGGTGGCAGTGGGTTGCTCGCTTTCCCATAATTAAATGCATGTCCTGGAGATAGTTTTCAGGCTCCAGTAACTGAGCCTTCAGCCCTGGCTCTCAGGGCACCAGGAGTTCTCAGCTGGCTGAAGACTATAATCACTGAAAAATCCTACTGCTCAGATCCTCACCCAGGACAATTTTACCAGAATCTCTTGGGGTGGGACCCAGACATCGGGATTTTTAAGGCTCAAACGTGGTTTCAAAGTGCATCTAAAGTTGAGACCCACTGCCAAATATTGACCCGCAGAGCACTTGCATTGAACTCACCCAGACAGCTTCTTGGAAACAGATTTCTGTGCTCATCCCCTAAGATATAATTTATCTGCAACAGAGCACAGGGACCCGAAACCCATATTTTTTCCAGGCTCTTCAAGCAACTCAGGTGTGTATCTGGTCTTCATTTTCATCCTGTACTCACTCATTCATTGTCCATTTTTGAGGCCTTTCTGGGGTGATCCACACAAGACATGCTCCTTGACTCCCAGGAGTTCTGTTAGGCAGGGGAGACGGCCACATGAGCAAAGTGTTATTGAACAATATGGAAAGTGTATGTCAGAGACACACTAACGGAGCCAGAGCAATCAGGAAGGCTCTACTCGCTCCATTCCTCTGGCTCTTTCTCCTTTTCTCTATTCAAAATCAAAATCAGGACGGACTGATTGCCAGCCCATATGTTGCCACACCTCCACCGAGTTGCCTCATAAGCCTCTGGGAGAGTCTCAGAGCAAAGTTAGTTTCCATTCACTTAAAATGGAAAGAAGTGTGTGGCACATCTCCATGAGAGTGGCAAGGGAAAGAGAAGAGAACAGTGAACAACCCCAGTCTAAGGACCATCTGACTCTGTGGAGTGCAACCCAAGCCTATGTCTGCATGTGAATCAGTTGGAAACGCCTGACTCCAAGCTGATTGGGGCCAGGCCCATCTTACTTCTCGCCAGGGCCAATGGGGCGATCTCCTGATGGGTCTTTCAGCTTCCCAGGAGCCTCCCTCTCTGCATACCCATCCTGTACACTTCAAGCAGGACAACCTGAATGTTCGCCCCCACTGTGCATAAGGACCACCAGGGGCTTATACAAATTCCAGAGGCCAGGGTCCCTCCCCCGTGTATTTGGTTTCAATGGGTCTGAGGGTAAGGCCCAGACATCGATGTTTTTAAAAAGGTCTCTAGGTTAATCTAGAGCACAGCCAGAGTAGAGAGTCGTAGGAGCAGAGAACCTGGTAAAATGGGAATATTCGTAGTACTTATCTCATTGCACTGTTGTAAGATATATAAAGATTATTAT